CTGCACTATAGCTACCCTGGGTCTCTATACCTGGCAAGGTGCCAACTACACCTTTCCATTCAGATGATGCAAATGATGCATTTGGCATTTCTTGCATCACCACCCCTCAAAAATCACCTCCAATACAACCTCGAAAAACCTTCCCTCGAAGCACCCTCCTCCCCCAGCATGTGCCGAGTTTACGTGTACCTTTCCCGGGTCACCCCCCCAGACCCCCTAACTACTCACTTCGTTCGCCAGACACAACTCCGCTAGCGCCTTCTACGAAGGCTGGCTTTCGTAATATGTCGCATGCAGTCCGGCATGCACGTGCAGCTTGACCAAAGACCACACACCAACTATATCTGCGACCTACCTCCACCGACAGAGGAACCAGCCTCCCCTGCTTCTTGGGAAACTTCGAGTTGAACATCCCCGCATCTGTCGCAGTAAATCCATGTATATAAATCCTCCCTTGGAACCCACAAGCAAACGGTTCCATCCTTAAAGAAATTCTGGGGTTGCAATCTGCGATATTCATGGATCTTGCTTCACCTTGGTTCCCTTGTGAACACACCGCCCATAACCATCAATTGCTCCCATCCAAGTCCTTGCCCGCGTTGGTCACCATGTACCTCAAGTTGAACCCGTGACTTGTGGAAGAGACTTGCGTTCTCAAAAGCCACACGCACACAAACACACAACCAAAATAGCACGCAAGCAGTTGAGCCCCTTTGACATGTTTTTTCTGCAAGTGGTCCTTGCGAGGTTTGCTGCGATTTGGGTTCCACATTGGTCTTTGCGTCTGTGAGTCATGGGTCTGCGCTCCACATCTGCCAATGCTTAGAGAAGTCTCAAAACGAGTTTCCATTCCGGGCGACCCGACAATTTCTTGGTCGGACTGGACTTGGACGTCTCGGTTTGACTCATGTGATAAACAATGGTTCAAACCAATGCCCGCTTGGGGCTTGCTGCACCACAGAAGCGCAGCACACGTATAGGAGTTGTTTCTGGGCTCGAAATTCCCGGGACCGGGTGGAGGTGCCCACATGCTTCAGCTTGAGGAACTTGCTTGGACATGAAATCTTTTCCAAACCCAAGTTTCCAAAAATCGCTTTTGGACATGAAATCATCCCCATCTTTAAATTCCAAGAACCCCCCAGCCAACCTGGGCTGCAAAAAACTCTTCGGCCTGGGCACTTGTTCACCGCGATACGGGCTGCCTCCAAGGCCTCCGAGGTCAACTGCTGGTCCTCATCACACACTAAGTGGGCCGCCGCCGGGAACTCGTCGCAGGGCATCTTCTTTTTTCCTCAGCCCAAAAGCAAGACGTGCTCGTGATTGAGGCGCCAAGGGCCCAAAACGTCTTGCTACCTGCTAAACCATATATGGTAGGTATAAATGCTCACCACGCCCCACGACCCCCCCGAAGGCAACAACACACCTCCCGTCCAGATTTGCACACCGCCAGGAGGTTCGCTCATTATGTTTAGGAGTTGCAACTGTTAGAGGACTGAGACCGTGTAGACATTGAATTGGTGGTCGCACTCCCAGAAATTTAAAGGTGCAGAGGTGGGTGGGAAGTGGAAGCAGCAGATGCAAGGCAGCAGATAGAGATGGGAGAAACGCAAGCCTGTGTGCTAGGCGGCACGTGACAGCATGAAAGGTCAAATGAGAGAGAGGCTTCGGACTCAAGAGGACATGGCAAACACGTGCTGGATGACCTTAGCAGTGGAAGATACAGGAGCGCACGCATCAGGCGCGCGACTCAGGCACGAAGGTCATCAAGCATCTGGCCAGTGGCTGCCCAAAGGTTTTGGGTACGATGCCAACGTCCAACGCGCGGCACTGGCTTTTCGAGCCAACGCAATGCAATAGATAGGCGCATGCTTGAGATTCGTACGCAGGTGCCCCTGGCTGGGCAACTTATGTGTCCAGCTTTTAGTATAGTGAGGGGGTTGGCCCAAACCGGTTTGCCCCTCACCATCACCTTCTTCTTATGGACGACATTGTCATGGACCCTCTTCCAGCTTCATCTTGTCATCGGTGCGAAGGATGATGTTGCGGCCTTTCAGGAACTTCTCTGCCAGAGCCTTCCAGATACGGCCTGGGCTTGGGGAGCGAATGGCGGCGGTCTTTGCACGCAGTCGGAACAAGACCAAGGTGTTCGGCTGACCCCGTTCGACGATGACACCCCATTTCTCCCATTGCGCCCTTTTCTGGTTCATGTCAACGTCCTTGCCCACATCAACTTTGTCTGCCCCCACATCCGCACCATGTGTGCGTTGCTCCAAACTGGGTATCGTTTTGTTTGTTGGTGACATGGCGGCGAGCAATCTCTAGGTTTGCGTAAACACGAGAGGCTGGCTTGTGGTTCATGCCAGGGGGGATAGGAACTGAAGTCATTGGCACACCTGCAAGCGCATAGCATAGAACAGCTGCTTGGTGCCCCAAGGGTGGCAGGCAACTGCAAAGGCAAACGGAAAGGCTTCAGTGGACATGAATGAAAGCAAATACCAGAATCCTTGTTTGGCGTGCATGCCTGTTGCAGAAGCAAAGGCATAGGTGAAGCAGTTTTGTCAAGCGCATCTGTTCGTCCATGACAAACGATTATCAGAAGATACCGCAATAGAATCAGAAAGCCCCATCATCAGCACCATCAGGTCGTACAGATAGATCAAGGCTCACATCAGCCATGCATATGGCTCGCAACTTCCTCATCAGCGCCGAAGTCCTCGTCCTCCATGTGGTCAATCATCCCTTCGAGCTCTTGTTCAAGTGTCTCCTCTTTCTCCTCTTGTAGCTGCATCGTATATAGATGATAGAATGCCATATATCTCCTCTTGTAGCTTCAATCTTCATCACTTGAGGTTAGTGCGGGGGTGGGGGCAGGGTGACCCCCTGGAGAACAGGTTAAACTCCTCAAATGTTTGATGTGTTTTGTTTTATTATTGTTCGTTTTGTGATTCTATAATATATACTACTACAAGAGTTCACAGCCCAAACAGTGTTTAAATATATCACAAACAGGTTTTGACATGTAGGTAATGTAACTGTAGTAATGGGAGATGACAAGTATGTGCAAACATGTGACACGCATAGAGTGTCATATGCTTGAGTAGGTGTGTCCGTGTGTATAAACACCCTCCAAAAATACTTTAAACAGTAAATGCCAGTACAAACAGCATGTTGGGGGGTCATGGGGTTTACCATATGTGTACAAAAATATATGTATATTTGTGTGTGTGCGCGCGCGCAAATGTGTGTGTAGCTGAAGGCATTCCCAAAAAACCCACTGCCTTGGGGCAAGCCTCCGACGTCAAAAATGCGGATCTTCGGATCGGGCACGCCTCGGCAGTAGCGGGTCTTGGGGTATGGCTTGTTCTTGTTGTAGCGATAGCACTTCGCTGGTCGACGACCCATCGCTGCTTGTTCTGGGCGCGGGCGGATGGGGTCCAAAATTACGTCTAACGGAACCGGCCTGAGCCCAAAAGGAAGCGGATTGAAACTGGCGGCGCCGGTGCGCCCAGGCTGGCATGTGCCCAACGCAACGTCAGGAGTTGTTCGGTGTTTTTCATGGGGTGGTAGCCAGGTGTTACGTGGAGACCCTGATTGGATGATGCGGCTTGCCTGATCAGTGGTTTCTCTTTTAGGATTTCTTGGGGCGTCTTTGAAGCAATTGTGTAGTGGGCCAAGCATGTCGAGTATACACATGTGAGGATATGCTTGGCCGGCCCTTCCTGAATCAGGCAGTTCATGGAACATGGCCGGGTTTCAGTTTGAGCAACTAGTTCCTTTCTCATGTGGTTTCTTGTTATTGTTTGAGCCATTTTGAGCCTATCTTGCCAAGCGCCCACGAGGAACTTTTATTTTTGTGCAAAGCCATCTCCAGCGCGCCCTATCCCGGGCCTCTTCATCCGGCTGATGTGCAGAAGTGGGGCCATGATCCCCCCCCAAGCGGGCTCCGCGTCTGCACCAACTGCAGTTTTCTGAAGCCATCTAACCCAGCCCATCTATATATACATATACAGAGTGAGAGAATGGAAAAATATAGTATATGTATATAAGTATATAATACATATATGTATATTATATATATGCATGTATATGCATGTATGTATTTGTATTTATGTTCAGCCTGGTGATCTCATCGCCATCTCACACCGTGGCACCTGATGAGAAAAAGGCCAGGCCACTGCTGAGGGAAAGGCAGCGGTTTCATCAAGCATCTGCAACCACATCCTTGTTCTCCACACAACTTTATGTGGACAGCCACGCACTTTAAAGGCACATGCGAGCTTTCTGTTGCGCTATATGTAAGAGGGGCTCATCTGGAAAGTGGAGAGAAAAGCTGGCTTGACCAATTCACCAGAACCACAAGGCAGTTCCAGGAGAGCGATTCTGCGCCCTACAGTCTCAATGCTGGCAAGTGTCAAAGATTGCTGCACTATGCAAACCACGAGCTACAAAAATGGGGAAAAGTCATGGCAAGTCCTCATCTGTCCCCGATCCTGACCTGCCTCCGCCCGGTCCCTGGTCTCCACCCCAGGAACCACAACCGGGATCCTGAGCCAAGCACTAGCCTCAGAATGGCCCATCGAAGCCTTGGACAACATCGATGGATCAAGTCTGTACGAAGTCATATTTTTTTTATCTTATATCGAGCCAAAAGTTGTTTCCAACAAATCATGCTAAACAGCATGCCATGATTAATTTATCGTGAGTCCCATGTGTGCTGAGTGCCGGAATGCTCAATCTCAAGCACAAAAACGATGCTGAACAATGCTGAACACCCATCAAACTGGGGCTTACGTCGTTGGTCGCCCCAGCAAAGCCTCTAAAGACCGTCAGACCAGCTTCTTCAAGACCACCTGGCCTCTTAAAACATCGGACGAGGTGCCTCGCTGATGATCGGGCTTGGAGAGCGTACCGGGCCTGGCAGTTCCAAGCCAAAGGCGCCCGGGATCGGGTGTCCAATTTTCCCCACCCCCCGTGAATTCACATCACTGCCGGGTCTACCAGGCACCCTCCAGGCGCGGGAACACATCCAAAAAGTGGGTAGAACTGGGAAGGGCAAGCAGCCTACGGAACACATCTGAGGACTGGAAACCCCATGGCGCCGGAGGCAACATAATATCACCATGAATCACACGAAGCTTTTTTCCCCGCCCGAATTTTGTGTCCCCTCTTCACTGACCTACAGCACAAGTCCTCATTTCGCTATGTCGCCTGGGGGAAGGGCGCCAGGTGGCAAAGGCCTTGGTGCGAACATCATCAGTGGCCAGGTGTCATTTGGCCTCTGCAAAAGAAATACGTGTGACGAAACTGATCCACCGGAAGCACAATCACTTGCCTATCAGAAGTCGGGAGTTTTGTGCACTGGAACTGACTTCGTCTCAAGCCTCGAGCATATACTACATTGTACATCACACAATTTGTTTAGATCTACAGTATGGGTGACCATGCAGCTCTCTCATAGTTGGCCTTCCATGCATCCTGGCGGTGGTTCACATGGACCCCAACCCCTGTTCCTGGATGAAATGAGATGCCTGGGGCCTGGGGTGGATCTGTTGGAGACATCTGCCTGGCAGCCTGATTGAGGTGACGCCTCAGGGCCACCTGCGGAAGGCTCATGTCGAGAGTTGGAGGCCATCGCTATTAGGTTGGAGGCCATTGTTTCTAGGTTGGTTTACTCCAAAAATTATATTCTATGTATGGTCTTTGAACGGCGGGTTGCCCAAGTTTGGGCCCAAGGCTTGCCCATCCCTTCCCGACAGGCTGGGGACGCAAGCAATGTCTGGGAGGTCCACCGCATTTGTGGATGTAGCTGCCTACCGTCTTCGCCGAAGAAGCGAAGAAGTCTCACTTGATTGTTCTGTTCTGCTTTTTCATGCGCTTTCATTCGGGACCGGTGAATCCAAGTCCTTCCGCGCAAGTGGACCATGGCATTCCCAAATGTGAAACATAGTTCATCCAATGAGTCGACGCAAAAATTGCAGATTGATGTTTGACCAGTGGGATGCATCGGAGACCGCCTGGGTTCCAATGACCCCTGAGGGGCATAAAGGCCATCCTCGTAGGGCCTCGGCTTAACTCCGAGCGGCGACGTGGACCATCGTGGACCATCGTGTATGAAGTATGAAGCAAGTAGGACCAGGACACGGTACAACCACTGGAACAAACAGAGAAATTCTAACAAGCATCGATCTATACTAGCCTTAAAAATTCAGTATTTCTTGCGCATTGCATCACACTGGGCGTGAAAACTCATGAAAGACTATACCTCCCTTAAGGGCTCTGCAACCCCACAGAAATGACCCGTCGCAGGGCTCCGTACCCCACCATGTCCGGCTCGAACACAGCTGCCTCAACAGATCTATCTTTAAGCGAGAAAAAGAGGATGTTGCTTTAAAGGAGCTAGCAGCAAACACCCTCAAAATGTGCAGGCCATGAAAAAACACACCACATCATCAGCATTGGAGCTCGACACAGTACCTCCAAAGCACCCAGCCTGTTGTGAGCTCTGCCTTGGTGTCGATGAATCGACCGCAGTTGACACGAAAAAGAGAGGTTGCTCCGCAGCATGCATCCTTTTGGTTCCGGTGTCGCAACGGGTTCTGTGCAATGACACTTTTGGCCAAATCGAGCTATTCCACACAAGCTAAAAGAGCTTCATCTCATCCTTCCGCATCAAACTCTTCTTGAAGCCTTCTGGCCATGGCTTCATCCTCTGCCATCTGTGCTTCGGCAGACACAGCCGGGGCCGGCGTCGCAGTCGCGGGTGCCTGCCCCGCCCGCCGCATGGCGGCTTCCGCCGCGGCCGCGCGGGCAGCAGAACGATCGACGGGGTCGGCGACCAGGGGCCGGCCGGCTCCTGCGATGGGAGCGGTGGGACTGGAGTGAATGCATGGAGTCCGAAAAAAACGCTTGATGCGGTCTCGTCATGTCTATAGTGCAAGGCAATCCTGTAGTAGAACATAAATGGTCCTACTTCCAAAAGCACTGACTGGAAGCGACTGCAAGAAAACACAATCCAAAGTCAGAAAGCCACCAGAACCCTCGAAGTCCTTCAAAAGCCTTGAAGGCCTCCTTCTTGGGTTCCTTCTTCTCTTCACTTCCCCCAAGTGAGGTCACTGACTTCCTGACCCAGCTCCCCATTCCGCTCAAACTCTCGCCCACGCTGGACGCCGCTTCTCCCACATACTTCCCCGCCGACGCCGCCGTCTCACCGATCCGCTCGCCCACGCTGGGGCCCTCCGCCGGCGCCGATGTGGCGGGGATCGGCTGCGCTTCGCCGGGCGCACCCAGGCGTCCGCCCCCCCAGTTCTGGTAGCCTGAGCCGACTTTTGAGGCGGAGGTTCATCTATAGAACCGTGGTCGTGTTCTTTTTTGGGGGGTTGGGGGGGCAACGATTCTGAAGGGAAAAAGGGGAACGCCCAGTGGAGTTTTCCACCTTTTTTCATGATTTCTGTCCCATTTCCCTCAGATCCTTCCCTTCCTCTCATTTCCGCTTAGCCACCCGTGGGCCGCGTCGCCGCCGCCTCCTTGCAGGCCTCACACACCTGGCTGCTGCTGGAGTCCACCGCGTCGCAAATGCCTTCGCTGGCCGCAGCCCCGGCACGAGAGCCCGCGATGGCACCGCCAATGGCGCCCGCCAGGGCGCCCACAGGACCTGGAAAAGAGGTGGGCTCAAAAGAAGACAACCGAAAATATCCGAAACATGGCTCACATAAAAAGTATATCTACTATATACAGTATCATATGATGTCATATGTCTGTTTATATGATGGGACATGATGGAACTTATGATGGTGCGTGCAAATCCTTAGCGCGGCCGCGCGCCTAACACTGCACCGGCCAACATCGAGCCGCCCATGGAGCCGCCCAGGGACCCGGCGATACTGCCCCCCGTTTGGTACGCAGCTCGGTTCTGCACTCCGTCCATGGGACGACGGCAGCGTTCGCACACCAAGATCTTCCGCTGTCTCACATACTGCTCATCGACTGTGTCGAACGGCATTGGCACAACACTGGGCCGGGCCCTGAAAGCGGCACAGGACGAGCCAATGGATCAACACAGCTGGGTGCTTGGAGTTTGGTGCTCAATGCGGCGAGGTGCGCAGTCACGCAACGTCTGGTGGCATGGAACAAACAGCACCAACTTCCAAACAGCCAGAAGTAATCAGACTGACCGGTCTGCCACGTGTGTTCCGACTTCCCTAGCTCTTCCACTAGCTCTTCCGGATCATAAGTCAACTTTGCTGCTGAGCGCCCAGCTGTGACAATGTTTGGGGTGGCGAGTGCTGGAAGACTTGTGGTGAGGAGACCTGTGGTGATGCTATCAGTGGTGGTGGTGGAAAGGCCAAGTGAGGCCTCGTTCCATCCGTCTCCAGGATAGGCTCCTCTGGCAACAAATGTTGCAGCAGGAGTGGTTGCCCTAGAGGCCCAAAGGCATCGAAGGAATCAAATGCCTCCGGTGTCTCCGGAATCTCCACCGGTGGCACATGCGCCACCGGTGAGCTGGAGACCTCTCGCTGTGCTCCCTTGGGGGAGTCGGGCGGGGTGCATGAGAGCGGCGTCGGCCTCGGTCGATGCAGCCAGCCGTGTGAGTATCTCATGACAGGAGCCTCTAGTAGCTTCTTTGCTCTGGAAATGCCCTTTGTTCCTAGTAGCTTCTTTGCTCCTAGTAGCGATCCTTTGCTACTAGTAGCGTTCTTGTTGCTAGTAGTAAGGCCAGGAGCGTCCTTGCTCCCGGAAGAAGTCTCCGTTTGGAACATTTTGAGAATCAACCATTGAGAGGATGTCATATCACATCCATCCAAGACGTCTCCTTGGCAGCTCCTGGGCTCTATCAGCCTTTGTGAAAACGAGGCCCCCTCCCTCTGTGGGATCCATAGCGGGCCGGTCGGACTTGGGCCTCCCCACTTCCTCCGCAGAGAGGCCGGTGACTCCGATTGCGACGCCTCCTGGCACACAAAGGCCAACAAATGGAAGTCGGTGTATCCCTGAGGTCTCCTTCATCATCCCTGACTCCGCCGGCAAGGCAAATCAAGGTATCTCACGGCCAACCTCTTTAGGTGACCGTTCCATCTGACCGTTCCATCTGCATCTTCCATGTCAGACCGTCAGACCCTCCCTTCCGATGCCGCGAAGGAAGCGGACGCTCCTTTTTGGGCCACTCGAGACCGGTCCGCGCCGGTCGGGTCGAGCGAGCCGAGCGCCGGACGCCCGGTTCCCGCGGTCTCGAAGTGGTGGTCTCGAAGGGGAGATCTGATGTCCCCAAGTCGTCTTAGTTCCCTTGATACGAAATTCTACCCAAATTGGGATGAGACCATTACAAGCCAAGTGGCAACCACAACGAATACGATTAAACATTGTGCATGTCCTGTGGCTTGAGAGGCGAGAAGCTGCTCCCTCAAAGGCATTAACCATTAATTTTCATGGAGGCGGGGCGAATGGTTCCATCCCCTTTGCTCAGGTGTTTATTGATCTAAATCAAGTGGCATTGAACGAGACCAGCAAGAAACTGTAAACTTAATGTAAATCCTTGTGACGTGGAGACTCCCCAAAGCCGCTCAATCCAAATACATCTGTCCTGGATCAAGTATACTGTATACAATCATGTGCAATGATCTCCTATGCTGCTATACTAGCTCTAACCTGTAGTTAAGGAAAACACTGGTATCAATCAACCTGACGACAGTATGCCTACAGTACATCCTCCTGCCTTCCACCAATCTACAAAAGATATCAGATCATCTCCCCACCACAGCCACACCATTGCGCTCGTCTCAGCCACCCCATTCAGCGCACAATCCGACGCTTCAGAGCGACGTTGCCCTGCGAAGCCTGGCTGAACAAAGAAGCGACTGACAGGTGGCTGAACTGAAGTGATCCTGTGGAATTGGATGGCTGAACTGCACTGGATTAAAACGATGAAACAAGATTTGACCCCACCACGTCCTCTCAAAGGACGGCGGACGTGATCTCTTGTAGGACGTGAGGGTGGCTATGAACAAGCAATCTTCCAAAAAACCTCGTGGCTTTGAGAGTGTCACAGCCCTTCCACTTGTGGGTAAGTGATGTTAAGTGTGAGAAGACAATAGATGTGTATAAATCTTATCACCTGGATAAGGGAACATGACTCAATGGAGCCGCCCCATTACAGAGGTTTTCCACATGTGACCAAACCGTGCCTGATTAACATCTATAAGTCTGTAAGTCTATAATTATACAACTTGTGTGAAACCTACGAATGCAACGAGAAAGCATCAAGAGGCTTGTGTGTCAGGCGCCCAGGAGCTTCTTGATCTGTCTTTCTCTGAAGGAGAAAGTCTCTGAGCAACAAAAGTATGCTCAAAAAGCGTTCACCTTGTGGCCATTTCCTTAGTAAGAAGAAGCTACTAGTAGCTCCTGGCCTTACTACTAGTGTCAAGAAGCTACTAGTAGCTCCTGGCAACTTACTACTAGTAACAAGAAGCTACTAGTAGCTCCTGGCGACTTACTACTAGTAACAAGAAGCTACTAGTAGCTCCTGGCAACTTACTACTAGTAACAAGAAGCTACTAGTAGCTCCTGGCCTTACGACTAGTAACAAGAAGCTACTAGGAACAAAGGGCCTTACTACTAGGAGCAAAAAGCTACTAGGGGCTCCTGGCCTTACTACTAGTAAGAAGAATGTAGTAGTAGCTCCTGGCCTTGCTACTAATACTAGTAACAAGAAGCTACTAGGAACAAAGGGCCTTACTACTAGGAGCAAGAAGCTACTAGTAGCTCCTGGCCTTACTACTAGTAACAAGAAGCTACTAGTAGCTCCTGGCAAATTACTACTAGTAACAAGAAGCTACTAGTAGCTCCTGGCCTTACTACTAGTAACAAGAAGCTACTAGTAGCTCCTGGCAACTTCCTACTAGCAACAAGAAGCTACTAGTAGCTCCTGACCTTACTACTAGTAACAAGAAGCTACTAGTAGCTCCCGGCAACTTCCTACTAGCAACAAGAAGCTACTAGTAGCTCCTGGCCTTACTACTAGTAACAAGAAGCTCCTAGTAGCTCCTGGCCTTACTACTAGTAACAAGAAGCTCCTAGTAGCTCCTGGCCTTACTACTAGTAACAAGAAGCTACTAGGAATAAAGGGCATTTCCAGACTCGACTCCAAATTCCGTGGCTCCTCCGGCCTTCGGTGAAGCCTTCGGAGGGGGCGCATCTGGCATCGGCGGTGCCGCGTAACGGAGGATGTGCCACGGCTGATAGGGAGATCTCCAAAGCACTGGGCTGCTGGCATTTCATGGGAAAAGCTGCTCACACACGAAAAAGCTCAAAACAAACGGCAACCAACATCTGGCAAGTGCTAAAGATAAACTTGAAGGGGGGGTAGTCCTGTTCTGAAGCAAACTGCCCTTCATTTACACAACAAGAAGGCTTTACACTTTTACACGGGAACCATCACTTCCTGTCTGGCATCTTTGATCTTATGTTTATATAAATATGTGTATATATATATATAACACATAGTTTTATGTGTAATATATAAATATATAGAATTGTGTTTTTTAAAATAAATCGTATATAATACGTATATCATGTTATATTTATAACATATATAACTATGGTTCTATGGCTCACGGTTTTTCATTGGTCTGGATCTTCCCCATTCTTCCACACCAAACGGCTTCGATCGGCTGCAGCTCCACCGCCCGGTCGTACCGCCTGGAGCGAAGCCGTCGCCGTCACCGACCTGTGATGAGGACGCCCCGGTCGTAGCTTCGGTTCGGTTGGGGGGTGGGGGCCAGGAGGGTCGCATACCGAACCTGAGGAGACCCTGAGGAGGTACGACTGGAGCCCTAGGGTTGAGGAACACTTGGAGGCTCCGTCTGCTGGCGAATCACCATCAAGAGCCAGTCCACAAGTCCAGGAGCTATGGGCTTAACAAAGGACAGAAGAGACCGTCGGAGGCAATGATGTTTGGGACGAGTCTGTCATGTTGTCCAGTCAATTCTCGATGAGTAGCTCCCCTGCGTTGAAAAAACATGAAAACTGCCCAAAATGCAGGTGATCCAAAGGGACTCTCCTGCCCTTGATTCCACCTACAAGTCTCACGTTCTCCCGCGGCAGACGGTTGAACCAGCGAAACAGTGCTTCACTGGCCTCTGACTCTTTCGGCTTGGGGCGGCCTGGCGGTTCACGTGGAATACGATGTGTTAGATTTCCGGGTGTCGAGCCACAGCGCAGCCGGCTTCAGAATCAACTAATAAGCAGTCAGTCAGCTTGAAAGTACATAAAACATCGGAAAACTGCCTACTGTAGCAGAAAACTGCGGCAGAGCAATTCAAGTCAGATCTGGTGGGCCTGGATTGCTGCCGAACATTCTCAACCAAACATGATCACGGAGAACCCCGCGGTTTTGGGTCCTCGAACACCCGCCCTGTCGGTGTGTCCGATGTCGTCGGATGTCGTCGGATGGTTCCGTGCCTCTCGGCTGACGGACCTGGGAAGGATCCAACAACGGTCTTCCCACCAGTGGATCGAGCCAGCATTGCTTAGCTATCTTGCCAGCTTGCTTAGTGGATCCCAGCTTACTATATCAAGCCAGTGGATCAAGCCATCTTTGCTAGCATCTTTTGGATGTTGCACACCTTCCACTACGTAGGCTGTTCTTCCGGGAATTTTTTTCGACTGAGTTTGGTAGAGAGCGGCCCACTCCTTGACTTTACGGTTTCCTCCAGGGCCCGAATAGATTGGGACAAATGACTGACATCTACTAGCGTGATGTTCCCTGCCCATCTGCGGCCCAGGACACTTTGCGACTTTTGGCCTTCTCAAGGGCCTTGATGAAAGAGCTCTTCTGACCTGCCCAAGGGCCAATGCGATTGTAGGATCTCACTGGGCACCAATGGCCACAGGTGGTTGGCGCTGCATGGAAGAGGTCACAATTATAACCTTCACCAAATCCACGGTAATCTATCTATGCTATCTACATCATTCTACATCTACCTTGTCTTATCTTATCTTATCTTATCTTATCTTACTATCTATCTATCTATCTATCTATCTATCTATCTATCTATCTATCTATCTA